ATCAAACTTGGTTCAAACAACTTTCTTCTTTGGAAGCATCATATCGAATCCATCATTCGAGCACACAAATTGTTGCAATTTGTGGAAAATCCGAAGATTCCAGCTCAATTCATCCATGGCGATGACGGAACCAGGACAATCAACGATGAATATGCTGTATGGGAACAACAGGATCAGATGCTTTTCTCATGGCTTCTTTCCTCTCTATCGGAATCACTTCATGCTCGCGTAATTCATTGTCAACGTTCGCACGAGCTTTGGAGTACGATTCGGAAATTTTTCCAATCAAATCTCACTGCGAAGGCACGCCAGCTCAAATCCGAGCTCTACAATACTGGTAAAGGAGATCGCTCGATTGAAGAATATCTTCTTCGGATTCAAACAACTGTTGATAATCTGAGTTTGATTGGTGAGCCAATTTCTACTAAAGAACATGTGAATGTTATCCTTGAGGGACTTCCAGAGGAATATGAATCTATTGTATCATCCGTATCCTCTTGTAGCCTCCTTGATCCGATAACTGTTACAGAACTTGAACCTCTGCTTTTACTCAAAGAAATGCGTTTGAAAAAGCATCGTGAAGCAACTACTCCTGCTATTTTTTCTGCTAATGTCGCTCATACTGAAAACACATCTCAAACCTCCAGTTCAGAAACTGTCACAAGCAACCGAAGCTTCTTCTGCAAATATGGCACAATTTCGTAACCCTAATCAGTCAAATCCGTATAGAGGAAGAGGTCGTGGAGGCCCAAACAGAGGTAGAGGTGGTCGTTTTGGAAATCGAAGCTCAGTAATATGTCAGGTGTGTGGAAAGTCTGGACATCATGCCCTAATTTGTCATCATCGCTACAATCCTAATTTTACCTATCCAAACCCTAATCCAATTTACACCAATTCTAACTATGGACCTTCATGTCACTGGAACTCACAAGCACCTAATTCATACACTCCATCTCACTTCAATCATTCACCCTACTATACTCCAAGACAGAATATACCTCAACACTTCAGCTCTTCAGCTCCTGGGCATCTTCCTAACCATCAATCTACAGCTCAAGAGACTTTCAATTGGGATCAGCACTCAGCCAGACCTCTACCATCTGCAACATTTGCTAGTACAAACTCTGTTCTTGGACCACCTCCATCTTCTCAACAATGGTTCCCTGATTCAGGTGCTACTCATCATGTGACTGCTGATCCACTCAATTTTCAGCACAGTGAACCTCTTGTTTCAACTGACAAACTCTTTATGGGTAATGGTCAAGGTGTGGATATCAAATCTATTGGTTTTTCTTCCTTTCTATCTCCCTATTCTAAGTCTCAGTCTCTTATGTTAACTAATATGCTTCATGTCCCTTCTATAACCAAAAATCTCATGAGTGTTAGTAAATTTGCTAAAGACAACAATGTTTTCTTTGAATTCCATCCTTATGATTGTTATGTCAAATCCCAGGCTTCTAAACAGGTTCTTCTACATGGAGTTCTTGGTGCTGATGGTTTATACAAGTTCCAGTCCATACCTCCTCTTGGTTTACATCAATTCAAAGATGCAAGTCTGTCTACCTCAATAGTGTCCACAACAAACACCCCTTTGTACCTCCTTTCCTTTGTTTCCACTTATAATACGTCTAGCTCTTGTAATAATGCCTCAGTTTCTTGTAATATTTGGCACCTAAGATTAGGCCATCCACATTTTGAAGCACTGAAATCTGTACTCAACACTTGTAATGTGTCTGGCATAAATAAAAATGATGTTTCATTCTGTTCTTCTTGTTGTCTTGGTAAGGCTCACAGACTACCCTCACACTCATCTCATACTGTCTATAAATCCCCATTTGATCTTATCTTTACAGACTTATGGGGCCCAGCCCCCATGTATTCATTTGATGGATATTCATATTACATCTCCTTGATGCCTGTACTCGATATACTTGGATATATTTTCTAAAGAAGAAATCTGATGCCATAACAGCCTTTCAGAACTTCCATAAATATGTTCAAACTCAATTTTCAAAATCCATCAAATCTGTTCAGTCTGACTGGGGAGGTGAGTTCAGATCCTTTACCACCTTTCTTGCTGAGAATGGAATAACACATAGGCTTATTTGTCCACATACACATCACCAGAATGGTGTTGTGGAAAGAAAACACAAAACTATAGTTGAGAAAGGCCTTTCCATTCTTGCTCATTCCTCATTACCTTTAAAATTCTGGGATGCTGCCTTCTCCACCTCAGTTTATCTTATCAATAGAACTCCATCCACTTCTATTGCCAACTCAAGTCCATATTTTCAACTCCATGGAACCAGTCCAGATTACTCTCTACTAAAAGTATTTGGTTGTTCTTGCTATCCATTCATTAGACCCTACAACAAACATAAAATGGCCTTTCATTCGGAAGAGTGAATCTTTATAGGTTACTCACCTCAGCACAAAGGCTATAAATGCCTCTCCTCTTCTGACAAAATCCACATCTCTAAGGATGTTACCTTTCATGAGGCAAGATTTCCTTACTCTATTCTTTTCCCATCCACCTCTACCGATTCCAAGTCATCTCAGTCTTCACTTTCTGCCCCCTTAACTGTGATTCATCCTTCTTCTTTCTCTAATGTCTCTTCTTCCCAGATTACTGAACCACAATCTACTTCTTCTCAAAGTCAAAGTCTGTCCCATACATCTTCTTCCAACTTTCAGAATTCTAACTCTGACCAAAACCATGTCTCCACCCCAATCTCCAAATAACTCAACCCAGTTTTCACAACATATTTCTCCTACAACATCTTCTTCTCCTATTCCAACTAACACTCATCCTATGCAAACTAGGGCAAAGTCAGGAATTGTTAAACCTAGATCGAATCCCACCTTACTGTTAGCTCATACTGAGCCTAAATCAGTTAAGCAAGCTTTATCTTCTCCACAATGGTTTTCTGCTATGCAGGCTGAATATGATGCACTGATAGCAAACCATACATGGTCTCTTGTTCCTCTGCCACCAAACAAACAAGCTGTTGGATGTAAATGGGTTTTTAGGGTCAAAGAAAATACTGATGGCTCTCTAAACAAGTTCAAAGCCAGACTAGTAGCCAAAGGATTTCATCAAAGATTTGGATTTGATTTTGGAGAAACCTTTTCCCCTGTTGTAAAACCCATTACAATCAGAATCTTGCTCACTCTAGCTATATCTCACAAATGGTCAATTCAACAGCTTGATGTTAATAATGCCTTTTTAAATGGCAATCTAGAGGAAGAGGTCTATATGGTTCAACCTCCAGGCTTTGAAGTCAAGGATAACTCTCTTGTTTGCAAACTGCATAAGTCACTATATGGACTTAAACAGGCCCCCAGAGCCTGGTTTCAAAAGGTAACCTCTGTTCTCTATGCTGCTGGATTTAAGCAAAGCAAATGTGATCCCTCTCTGCTTACCTTTCTACAGTCTGGAGTTCAAATCTACATTCTGATCTATGTAGATGATATCTTGGTTATTGGGAATAATCACACTGCTATTCAACAACTCATTCATAAGCTCAATTCATCCTTTTCTTTGAAACACTTGGGGGAAATTGACTTCTTTATAGGTATTGAAGTCAGGAGACAAAGTAATGGGAGTCTACATTTATCTCAAACCAAATACATCAGAGATCTTCTACACAAAGCTGGAATGCTTGAATCCAAAAGAGTCAAAACTCCTATGGTCAGTAACTATTCCTTTGCCAATCTCAGCCTTTTGTGATGCTGATTGGGCATCTGATCATGTTGATAGAAGGTCCACTTCTGGATCCTGCATTTTCCTTGGTCCAAACATTATTTCCTGGTGGTCAAAGAAGCAAGTGAGGGTTGCAAGGTCTTCAGCAGAAGCTGAGTATAGAAGCTTGGCTGACACAGTTGCTGAACTTTTATGGATCCAATCTCTGCTTAAGGAACTTCAAGTTCCTTTCACTATTCCCAAAGTTTACTGTGATAACCTTAGCACAGTACAACTTGCACATAATCCAGTACTTCATTCTCGCATCAAACACATGGAGATTGACCTATTCTTTGTCAGGGAACAAGTTCAGTCTAAACAGCTTGAAGTATATTACATTCCAGCCCCCTATCAAATTGCTGATGTTCTTACAAAACCATTGACTGCCTCATCCTTCCTTGAGCTCAAGACCAAACTTAGTGTGATTGATGTTCCACATCAATCACCCTAACTTTGTGGGGGGAATGTTAGAGATACTATATCTACGAATTGTGTAATAAGCTTAGTATTCAGTTAGCCAGTTATAGTTAGTCAAGCTGTTTAGATTCAGTTACAAGTTGGTTATACCACTTCTCTATAAATACTGATGTACTGGTATTATGTGATCAATGAAATCCTTCTACTTCATTTCATATTCTGGCTACTTTTCTAATAATTAATAATTAACTTATTAACTTAAACATGTTATACAAGTAGGATATAATATTTAAGGAAGTACCAAACAGACTCGCATAAGTGGCAGAATTGGAATGGTATCTGCAACTACGCGCGCTAGACATGGGATAGATTCCCTCATAGGACGGAGTTTCTTAAGAGTACTGGGAAATTGGGTTTATCTGCCCGGATTATGGGTCAGCGGGCTTAGGCTGGTTTTGACTGATTGGGTTATCAAGTGGGTCACTGGTTTCTGATTGACCTGATTGGGTGGTTTGCGTCTGGTAATACTGCTTAAATCCCTAAGGCTATGTTTAGGGAAGGGATTTTGGTGGGAGAGGAAAGACTGGATTTTTGTTGTCTTAAAGCATTTTTTTTACTTGACTTGTTTTCATAAGAAGAGATAAATTGATAAATTGGCATAAACTTAATGTCCTAATAATTAATTTCACCACAGACCAATATTATTATTATTATTATTATTATTCTTTTAATTTAATAGAAAGTGCACTCCCTGGCAAAGCCACCATCCAAACGAACATATCCTTTTGGTATATTGATATCTTGGATTTTTGCTCTTGTATTGAATCTTAATACCTTGCAGGTGTTGGGTACTCCTACCAGGGAAGAAATTAAATGCATGAACCCCAACTACACGGAGTTTAAATTCCCACAAATTAAAGCTCATCCGTGGCACAAGGTTACTTGAAATCACCATCTCTTTCCCCCTTTTGTTTTGCTATAAGTTCACCTCTACTTGAAATCTTTGTCCCTTTTGCCTTTAATTTGCTACGATATTACCTCACATTCTAATGTTTGCTTATCAGATATTTCCAAAACGTATGCCACCAGAAGCAGTTGACCTTGTTTCAAGACTGCTGCAATACTCTCCTAACTTGCGCTGTTCTGCTGTAAGTACATACAAAGGACACAGCTTTTATGTACGGAGTTTTTTCTCCTTTTGGTGCAGAAATTCTACTGGCAAATATTTGCTTGTAATGATTTCTGCTTCAGAATAACTTTGTCTGAAAAAAGCCTCATTTGAATCAAACTAGCTAATTTTTTTTATTGAAGTTATTGTAATTGCTCAAAACAAAAGCACTTGAAAGTTGGTTTAGAGGAGAAAGAAACAATATGAATCAGATAATCTTTGTCTTAAAAAGGAAAACTTGAATTTATTTTGGAATGGGGGAAAGGGAAAGTATGAAGATTGTTTGGGACAGGAGTATGATATATTTGGCAACCGAAAAAACTGTACTTCACCAAAAAGTTGGTCGTTGGATAAACATGACTCATTTTTTGGACGGAAGTAATAGATATAGATATCATTTGGCCGACTTTGATTGAGCTTGTTGACATCGTTATACATAGCTGGATGCATTGACCCACCCATTTTTTGATGAGCTACGTGATCCCAATATTCGACTTCCGAATGGACGTTTTCTTCCACCAATATTCAACTTCAAGCCTCAAGGTATGCACCCCCTAATAAACAGGTCTTAAAATTTTTTGTTTTCCCTTACGTAAAAGTTTGTTGAGTCTTATTGAATATTATGCCCTGTTATTCTTAGAGTTGAAGGGTGTGCCAATGGAGACTATAGTGAAATTGATTCCAGAGCATGCCCGAAAGCAATGCCCCTTCCTGGGATTGTAAGTGCTTCCCCAGTTATGACAACAATCTCTATCCTCCCTCTCTATTCAAATGTTTGTATTAATGTTGTATCCCTCGGCCCCTGTTGTACCTTATTATTAGTACTACTATTGTTATGTATCCTCGTTTTTGTAAAAGCAGATATAGAGAAGCGCTCTTGTACAATGTAATGCATTGCTCGGTATGAAATACTAGTAAACTTCATGTGGGAGTAAGAGGATTTATATGATCTGAATGGGATATTTGATAAGGAGACTTATAGGAGCTTGGTTCAATCACCGAAGTTAGTCTTTACTATGCTAACTTTTTGAGTTGTTATTTGTCTGGACTTAACCTAGCGTCCTGGCTGGTATTTTCCAGCAACTTGAGCTTCTCCGTCTTATTTTCATTATGGACTGAAAATCTGAAATCATACACCAAGTGTAGGACTTAACATGGTTTATGATAGCAGTACTAGTGTCCGATGACTTTTAAGATCGACGCCAATATGCAATTACATGTTAAAAGTTTGGTTTAAATCCGTTTAATAAATCAGACTGGACCAGACTGGGTTGGTCGACACGGCAATTGGTGAACCGACCCTATATGTGGTCCAGTAAACTCGGACTTCAGCCTATTCAAAATAGGTTACTTGGTTGGTAATTAGGGATGGCAACGGGGCGGATCGGGGACGGGTACACATAAAACCGAAACCGCCCCGTTAGATAAATGTTTGCCCCAAAACCGTCCCATTACCCGTTCGGGTAATTTTTATTTGAACCGTAACCGCCTCAACGGGGAATCGGTTTATCCACGGGTACCCGTTTCCCTAAATGATACCAAATAATCAATTTCTAACCCTACTTGTTAATGTAAACATCCTTCGTAGTAAATTATATATTAAAAGCACCATAAAATATACAAAAGTAAATGTTCAAGCAATCAAGCAGTTTTAGTCCTAAATTCATTAATATGACAAGCACTCAATATCTCTCGTAACATAATAAAAAAAGTAGTAAACAGAAGAAAAAAAGGAACTGAGTCGAATCCTTGATAATGAGAAAGATAGAAACCGCCGGCGGTAGAGCCGAACTGCAGGCCTTGCATCGTTCCATCTAGAAAGATCGAAGAGAGTTGTTCTCACTATTAAGAAGCGGAGTCCTGAACTATAAATCCGTAATACACTGAGTTATGGATGTTAGGGTTTTTGAAGCGGACCTCTGCTATAGTAGTCTTTATATAGTTATATGAGATATACGATTTAGTGTACACAATTTAGCATATATACTTATTATTCTTATATATATAAAGTTATATTTTATTAATAATGTTATGGGTCGGGTAACGGTGCAGATACCCGCACTATTAGTGAACGGGGCGGTTTCGGGGCGGATAATGGGGCGGATTAGTATAGAACCATAACCGCACCATTATCCATTTAAAAAAATCGGGTATTCCCCGCCCCGTACCCGTTCCCCAGTCAAACCGGTTTTCCCCAGTTTGACTAAATCGGTTCGGTGCGGGTATCCAACAGATCGGTCGAAATTGCCATCTCTATTGGTAATCTGATAGAGAGCCAGGGGTGGGGCGGAGGAAGTGGATCTGAGCCCTAGGCCCTTATTGGTCTATCGTAGGCAGGGATGGGCATGAGTCCATCTTCGTGAGTTGACTCTAGTTATTTTAATTAGTTTTAATTGTTCCTATTCTATTTTTATTTCCTAGTATGATTTAATTAGGACTTATTCTTTTTTAGATGAAAGGTAAATATTAAATCACCCAAACATAACATCATAGGTTAGAACTTTCTGGTTTGACTTCACAAGGTTTTAGGTAGGATAAATAAAATGGTTGACTTTCAAATAATAACCTTGATGAGATTCTGGTTGCTGAAATTATTCGAATGAAATGGAAGAGGGTAATGAATAGTAATAAGGGTAACTCTTATCTATTCAAAAGAAATTAACATCAGTTGCAGTCATATCAACTTCACATTACATGAATAGTAACAATGCTAATTCTTGGTACACCATATAAAGACCAACCCCAAAAAATAAATTTCCCTCCATACTTCACTATTCTGGGAAAATTTCACATTCCCTCCAATTTACAAACATTGAAACCCTATCTATAAATACACCACATTAATGTTTAGCCTTTTGGTACGATGTAGAATTAACTTTCCACTATATGAGGGTGGAACCTCCAGAAAGAATTAAAAGGAAGGAAGAGAATTCTCAGATTAGGCTAAAGAGTTGGTGAATTGCTGGGTCTCCCCTTTCATTCATTTTCCGGAAATAAGTAGACAATGAAATAATTAACTGCAACCTAATATAATGGCATGGTCTCAGGAGCCACTTGCCACTACTTATTTACATGGAATAATGGAGTAATAGCCTCCTAAAATAGTGCAACTAATTAATTATGAAATCATCAAACTTGGCTGGTAATCTCCGCACTCTAGGTGCACTGTCTGAGTCATGACTTGCGTGGCTCTCCCTTGTAACATGGCCTTCGCCTCGGAAAGTGGCCTTGTCCTCAAGGCGGAAGTGTGGAAATGCAGAATGAAAAGGTAGCCAATTTTCCCATGTGGCCTCAGTTGGTGAGATAGTATCCCATTGAACAAGAACCTGTTGGAGGGGTGTGTTATTCTGCCGGATTGTTCGATGGTCGAGTATGCGGATGGGTACCGGAGTCTGTGTTGGGGAAGGTGGAGGGTGGGTAAGTGTGGCAGCCGCCGGGTTGGGACAAAATTTTAAATGGGAAATGTGGAACACCGGATGAATGCGGGCAGACTCTGGGATGGCTAGTTTGTAAGCAACCTGCCTGACCCGAGCTAACACTTGATATGGTCCATAGTATCGTTTGGCTAGTTTATGATTGTGTCGCCGAGCTAAAGAGTGTTGGCGGTGTGGCTGTAACTTGACATAAACCCAGTCATTGACCTGGAATTCCATGTCACGACGAGACTTGTTGGCCTGGTCCTGCATTCGTTGTTGTGCGCGTTGCAAATTTGACTTGAGGGTACTAATGAGAACCTGACGGTCCATCAAAGAAGTATCTAAGGATGCAATAGGTGTGTCTCCTTCCGAATATCCCACTAAGGGTGGTGGAGCTCGACCATAGACTGCCTGGAAGAGAGAAAATCCCGTAGAACTGTGAATATTGGTGTTGTACCAGTACTCGGCCCATGGCAACATGTGCACCCATTTAGCTGGGTGATCACTTGCAAATGCTCGTAAATACATTTCCAAGCAACGATTCACCACTTCCGTTTGACCATCCGTTTGAGGATGATATGCGGTGCTATGCTTCAGTTTAGTGCCTTGGAGGCGAAAGAGTTCCTTCCAAAACGAGCTAACAAAAAGGGGATCCCGATCAGACACAATGGAGCGTGGAAACCCATGTAACCGTACATATTCCTGCACAAAATATTCTGCCAGCTTAGGTGCGGTAACGCCTTCTGGTAAGGCACAAAAATGCCCGTATTTGGATAGTCGATCCACCATGACCCATATCACACTTTTGCCTCGGACCATGGGCAAAGAAGTAATGAAATCCATGGAAATATCTTCCCAAATCTGAGCTGGAATAGGCAACGGTTGAAGCAGCCCTTTGACTCTCACATTTTCAGGCTTAATCTGCTGACAAACTGAACATTCACGGACGTGGCGTTTGACTTGAGAATACATTCCTGGCCAATAAAAACTGGCAGCGAGCCGAGAGTACGTCTTTTGTTCCCCTGAATGACCGCCCAGAAGTGTATCATGATAAAGGTGGAGCAGTCTGGTGCGTAACTCTTGATTAGCGGGGACATAGATTTTGCCCTGAAAATAAAGAAGATCATTTTTCCACTGGTAACGAGGATCTGCCATAGTGGGCTGTTGAAGACCTCGTACTAGCTGTTGAGTCGTGGAGTCGGAGCGTGTCAAATCTCTGATTTCTGACAACAAGGGGGTGGTCACGAATGTGATAGCCGCCATAGTTGCTTGGGCGTCTGCAGTCCACCGTGAAAGAGCATCCGGACCAGCATTCTCTACGCCCGCCTTGTATTCTATAGAAAAGTCAAAGCCCAAAAGTTTGGTGAGCCATCGTTGTTGCTCTGGAGTTTGGATGGTTTGTGATACTAATTGCTTGAGACTCTGATGATCAGTGAGGATGGTGAACGTGGTGCCCAGTAAATAAGAACGCCATTTATGGACAACATCAGTGATAGCATACATCTCTCGACTATACGCCGAGGCAGATTGATATCGTGGAGGGAGCCGTTTGCTAAAGTATGCCACTGGGTGTTTCTCTTGTGAAAGAATGGCACCAACTGCATAGCCGGAGGCATCAGTCTCCACGGTGAAAGGTAATGCGAAATTCGGGAGATGCAAAACGGGAGTTGTTGTCAAAGCGTCCTGGAGTTGGCGAAATGCCATTGCCTCTGCTGCCCCCCAAGTGAAACCTCCTTTCTTGAGCAACTCTGTCAACGGACCAGCAATATTTGCATAGCCTTTAACAAATCGACGATAATACCCGGTGAGGCCAAGGAAACCACGTACTTCAGTTACTATTTTTGGTGTAGGCCAGTCAAGCACAACGCGTACTTTAGCGGGATCCACAGAGACACCTGAGGCAGAGATAATATGTCCCAAGTACTCAAGGGTTGGTTTCCCAAAATTGCATTTGGACTCCTTGGCATAAAATTGATGCTCCTGGAGCGTTGCTAGGACCAAAGTGAGATGTTGTACATGATCTTCCAGGGATGGACTGAAAACCAAGATATCATCCATAAAAATCAGAACAAAGCGTCTTAAAAAGGGCTTGAAAACTGAGTTCATAGTGGCTTGAAAAGTGGCTGGCGCATTGGTTAACCCGAAGGGCATTACAAGAAACTCATAGTGACCTTCGTGAGTGCGAAAAGCAGTTTTCGGCACATCATCAAGCTGAACCCGGATCTGGTAGTACCCACTGCGAAGGTCAAGCTTAGAAAAGATTGTTGCACCATGTAGCTCGTCTAGGAGTTCATCAACAGTAGGCATAGGGAAACGGTCTTTGATGGTAATAGCATTGAGGGCACGATAGTCAACACAAAACCGCCAACTGCCATCTTTTTTCTTGACTAATAGGACTGGAGAAGAAAAGGGACTAGTGGATGGCCGAATAATGCCATCACGAAGCATGTCGTGAACCAACCGTTCAATCTCATTTTTTTGGTAATGAGGATAACGGTACGGCCGGACGTTGACTGGGCTGGAATGGGGTAACAAGTGGATTTTGTGATTCAGGGGGCGATTAGGAGGTAAGCCTTGCGGAACGTCAAAAACAGTAGGAAACCTGTTGAGGACAGTTTGGAT